TTCACTAATCCAGTTGAAACTAAACCGGAACACTGTGATCAGTGCAGCATCGATACGCGTGTCTAATAGGTTCAGATCACATTAAAATAATATCAGACATTCTTAAATTTAAATTGTTGAAATAAATCGAACCAACAATAGCAAATAAATAATATATGTAAATCAACAGGTCAACTATTAACATTATTGGATTTACAAGTGGATATGTTAAGTATATATATATAATAGTATTGTCTGTTGTATGTCCATGTAACCACTTCACAGAGTGTGGATGGATCTTCACCAAAACTGATATGGAGGTTGATTAGGTCCATGCGGAGGGTATATAAAAATTTTCAGTTTTGCATTTTGCGGTTTTTTATGGGTGTTTTTTACCACTGCTTCGCCCACTGTAGATGAATATTCACCAAATTTGGTATAGAGGTTCATTGGGTCCATGGGAAGATACAAACAAATTTTCAGTTTTGCGGTTTTTTTATGGGCGTTTTTTACCGCTGCTTCGCCCACTGTGGATGGATATTCACCAAATTTGGTACAGAGGTTCATTGGGGCCATGGGAAGATACAAACAAATTTTCAGTTTTGCGGTTTTTATGGGCGTTTTTTGTCACTACTTCGCCCCCTGTTTAAACAAGTTGTAATAGACAACCCTGTCTTCACCAAATTTTGGATGAAGGTTTGTTGGGTCCATGAGGAGATACATGTAAATTTACGGTTTCACATTTTGCAGTTGTTATGGGCGTTTTTGTGTTGTTTTTTTTACAATTACATATAAATGTTTGTTTGAAACCCGGTTTCTAGCGTTGTAAGTCCGCAGACATACCGTTGTGCCATTGGGGGGCTACATATACGAACAGCTTTTCGTGTCCTAAGATAACCTTTCATTAATCAGCTTATATTTGTATCTATAAGTATGTTTACAATCATCTGTATTTAATCTTTCGGTTCAGAAAATTATGGCATTTAGATAATGTCTTGATATCCGATAAGGTGTTATCTATTTGTGGAATCTCATGTTATTTACTATAATGCTGAGTAATAGCACTGTTAGTATTGAGGTTTTGGATGTCATGCACATGTTAGGATATTCGATCATCTACGGATCAACAAATTTCTCCTATATACATATTAGAACATCAGCTACAAGTTTCTTTATGAACAACGTTCTTATAATGACATCGATCATGTAGTCCATATTATATAATGACATCGATCATGTAGTCCATATTATATAATGACATCGATCATGTAGTTCATATTATATAATGATATCGATCATGTAGTCCATATTATATAATGACATCGATCATGTAGTCCATATTATATAATGACATCGATCATGTAGTTCATATTATATAATGATATCGATCATGTAGTCCATATTATATAATGACATCGATCATGTAGTCCATATTATATAATGACATCGATCATGTAGTCCATATTATATAATGACATCGATCATGTAGTCCATATTATACAATGATATCGATC